TATATATATATATATATTGTATATTATACGCCCCATATACGAATAACATATAATTTATACACGAACGCTGATAAAATTTTCCATCCAACATCGCTGAGTGTTTGCGGGTATTAAATCTCAGTCGTTTGTGTCTCTGAGGTCAAAGAATACTAAAGAAAAAATAGTATCTACAAAATTTAGTGTAAATTCTCTTATTAGCAATTACGTTGAAAGCAAGTATCTGTGAATATATTGACAATGCATGAATATATGACACAGGAAAGCTATAAACAATGTAGCAAATTAATTCATTCTTATTTTTCATTATATTATATATAGTTTTTCATATTTAGATATAGAACATAATATAAATTCATATAGCACAATTGCAGCAATAAATTATGTTTCCAGCTAAAAGAGCGACCTCAAAGATTACAGATAAAAGATACATGTGATTATCATAAAAATGTACAAATTGAATACTTTTTTTATTAACAATCAATATTCGCTATCCGGGTTTTGGCATACGATGATTATAAAAATTGCTTTTTAGAAAACGTCTCAATATATATTCACAAAATACACACATGCACACACGCACACATTCATTTCTCTATCGCTCTTATTTTCTCATTTTCGCTTATTACAATATATATCCGATTACCCGCATATACGAATCTTTTTGAACAGTTCTGTAAAGATTATTTAAAAACATGATTCATAGAGGAGTATGCTTATATAGAGCATAACAATATATTCCATACATATTATACTCTTTGGACAGAGCATGCACATGATTAAACACTTGTTTTAATATAAGTTATCAACATTTGTTGATATTGTGTTTTGTAAGAAAGAATTTATTTTTCTTCTTTGTGAAATAGAATTATCTTTCGCCCATCTTATATCTTACGAATAAATTATACATATATTTACTAATATAATGCTTCAATGAATATCTATCTTTTCGAAAAAATAAAAGTACGTATTAAAAATTTCGTTTTATTGTGTTGCATTATTATAATCATAAATGGAATCATAATGTTCACTTCTATATCCCACGTA